CCCCCACCCCACCCCAAAAAAAAAAAAGCAAAACTACATGCAAGGATAAGGAACAAATAGAAAGTAATATTAAAGAACAGAAAGATATATCGCGTCTTTGTCAAGTATGGTACGTTAGTTTCTATGGCTCAAAAACTGGCCTACAAACTTTTTCCCTCATGGTCAAGCACACATAAAATCTCTTGGTTTAACTAAAACACACATTCAAGGACTAAGGTTTGGTCCCAATGCTATACATCCTACATTGAGCACCAAGGTATATAAATGCATCCATGTGAGGAGAGATGAAAGACCGGATCATTAGGACCATGATCGTTAGGACCATGAAAATGATTGAAACCATGGGTTTAATGAGCTTTCCCCAGAGAGATATCTTGCAAAGTGTTATAGCAATTCAACACTGGAGCGCTCCAACATAGATAATCTCTAGAGAATACTCGCCTCGGCATATGCTGTGTTATGGGGCTTAGCTTGAGTAACCACCAGTAGAGTGCGAATTAAACTTCACCTAAAGCTAAACAAGTTTGACGCCCTCCATGAGTGAATCCAGTTACACTATTCCTCACTGAAATTGAAAAACAGTCCTAGTTATGCCAAGTAACGTTCAGCGTGCCTTAAAAAGAGCGCTCGATTTATACCCCTCCTTTTTTCATAGATACTAGACATTTTGGTTTTGTTATTTCCACAACGCATTCCCTTCTCAAACACTCCGACTTAAATAAGTGAGCGTGTGTGGAATATAGTCCATACCAAGCATACAAAATGACCATGGATGCATACTGCTTTCATCTACTTTGGGGAGAATATGATACCCATTTTGGGACCGAAAATGCAACAAAATCAACCAACTTTATAGGATGATAATTCATTACGTCATACATTTCACAACAAACGGTGCTTACTTGGACTGTTGATCATTAAGGCTCCTCAAGCATATATCTAGGCCATCATATTATAATTCTATTTAATTATAATATGAAAATTTGCTCATAAACCAAACAAGTTTCCATATCCATCTTGCACACAACCATCCAATTCCATCACCAAGAAGTCAATTTACATGCTTAATCACTATTAAAATAAGGTTCTACTTCATGAACTGCATCCTATGGGCATGTAGTGACCATGAATTTCTCTCGAACCAGCAATTTATGAGAACAAAAATTGTGCAGCTTTTGTGCAACCTAACAATATATTTCTGTCTAACATTTTAGAATTACAATCACTCTACTTAATATGAAAAATAATGCCCTCTGAGAACTGGTCAGATCTCTTACATTCAAGAATCATTTATCAATAGCTTAGTTAAGTATACATTATGAAACTTAGCAACTGAATGCAGCCATAAGGTTGAGCTTCATGTTGATGGAATCTATTGAGATCTTCCTGCAAAACAACATCTCTACCTTAAGAAAACATCAAATGGTTTAGTCAGAGAGAAACATGGACAATATTTACCGCATTTTTTATTACGGGAAAGGACACGTTTAACAGAAGGCTACTAACAGTTTAGAGGAATTTTTCCACTTGCGTGACACTTCGGGAAATATCCACATTATTCATTGAGATTGATAGAACATTCGCTCAGATTTCAATTCATTCAGCCAAAATACTCAACCATTTTTATAGTATAAACCAAAGAAACTTGGTAGACGTTTTTCACTTCCTTGCAAGAGCCTAGAGAATTATAACTCATAAGTGATACTTCCTTGCAAGAGCCTAGAAATCATTGGTTGTTTCTTCCTACAACTAATAACATACTGTTTCAATTAGAGGATGTATAAAAGAAAAGTATGTGTCAATTCACTCACACACAACAAACTAAAATGTCTAAACAAAATAGTGGGTAATTAAAATTCACATTCAAACTAATTATTGCAATTAATATATCATGAAATCTGAATTGGCAGAAATTAACTAGTTCAAAACAACTGATGTACGAACCCAACAAACCAAAATAGCAGGCTATTAACGCCTTTTGAGCCATCATATCTGAGACTCTATAATTTATAGGCTACAGGTTTATAGGAAATTTCAACTTTGGTTCACAGAGATCATATGATGTGGAAGTCACGTCGAAAGTAGGGATAAACAATCTGGACGGCCCATCTGTGTATTGCATGAGGTGTCTGTAGACTCTTATACTACACATTTAGCAAATTTGAACACTTCCATAAATATAAACCACGAGATTCAATGACTTAAGAGATGATAGGATAGGTTTAAATGGACCATGACCCAGACCCATTGTACGATAAATATCGGTTTCAGCAAGGCAATGGTCATGGTTACAAAGAAATATCTGATCAACTATCATTAAAATGAAAGGGCAAGAACTTGTGCTAAAGCAAATTCATTTAGAGATCCAAGAGGATATGAAAAGCAGTTACCACATTAGATGAAAGCATTCGATCAAGCAATTCAAGAATAGCAGAAATTTCTTCATAACTACATGAGTTGGACCCTTGAGTCAGACGCAATAACAGAAGAAAAAGTCCTGAATGTGCAAACTGCAAAATTAAAAACTAAGTTAGGATGTCCACAAAGATAATAAAATAACTGCTAATTTTTTTGCACTAAGATGCTTGTAAAATCACTATGGTCCATGCCAGCAATAGAAGTATTACACAGGAACAACCGATTTACAATATAAAGATCTCTTTTAAAAAGTAGTGACATTTTGCTTTAACATGGATGGACACGACAGGTCGTGATGAAAGCAATAACTTTAAGTGATCTAGATATCACTGTTCCAAAAACAAAATGTAGGAATAGACTTTTAAGTTTGCTCTAAGGATAGTGGGTGGTCAAGTACAATGAAGGCAAAGATTTGCTGGATTACAAGGCTTACATCAAATAAGTACACGATCGGTTGTTAACTTGTTACAATATGAGTTCAAATGCATCAAATAGGCAAAGACGGTTCAATAGTAATATGATCACTGTTTTAAATATCGGCCGATAACCGATATTATCGGCCGAGTTATCGGATTTGGGAGCTCTCCGATAGGATAACTTGGATTTTTAATCGGTCATCGTTTTTGGCAAGTTATCGGGGAGTTATCGGCGTTATCGGTACTTATCGGCCGATAAGGTTTTTTTATCGGGATTATCGGCCGATAAGTAAGGCTATGCAATCGAATAGTTTCATCGTGCAGTCAAGATGCAAGTTTTGCTTTCTATAATTGGTTAGTGATTCTAAACATGATGATTTACATTTTGGTATGTTTATATTTCATTAAGCATGGTTAGATTACATTTTTTAGTTATTATATTATATATATACACCATCTAGTATATCACTCCGATAAATACTACTTATCCCCGATATATCCCCGATTTCCGCTATCCGATAAGAATTTTGGTCGTCCGATAAATTCCCGATAACCGATATTTAAAACCTTGAATATGATGACTCTAAACAGACCTAAGGGCAAGTGTTACCATACCTACAAAATTAAAGCCTCCTCCAATTACCGCTTCCATAGGAGCAGGATGAGGGAGGCGAGGAGGCAAAAAACAAAGTTGAAGCCTTCTATAATGACTGCTTCCATAGGGTAGCAGAAAACTTTCCATAATCTGCGGACGAAACCGTCTTTGCTGTTGCTTGACAGGTTTGGCATCTGGTTTGATATCGAGGTGGTGCATTGCGACATTGGGGTCGAGCCTTGGCATGTCTTCATAATTCCATGCGAAGACGTCGATATATTCCCTGATGAGAGCAATCAATTCCTCCTAGCCGTCAACTACCACCAAAAATATGAATATAGGAAAAGACCATTGAAACACGGCATAACAAAATATGTGTTTAACAAACTGGTTAGTAGATGAGGGCCTATCTCCACATGACATAATATATACCAAAATATTAGATAGCTCCATCTAACTATGCTTATTATTTCTTGAAACTTACATTGCTCTTCAAGCCTCATGATTTAGTATGACTAGGGTCTAGGTCTTGACTTGAATGCTTCGTTTTACTGTAGACAATATATGTACATTGCAAACATTGATGGGTGCCCATAATCCACTAAGCATCCTAGCATGCAATTGACAAGCACAAATATAATATTTGCACAAAATTGATGATATAGGATTTGGATCAAATATTTGAAATAGAATTGACATCCTTCTGGAAATTGATACATCTAAACTTTATGTAGCTTATAATAATAGGTACAACCAAAAATCTGCGTTCATGTAATACTCATACCGAATAGCTGTGATATGTAAAAGTTAAAATTTGTAGAATAGCTGTAGCTGGATAGAATGATGCAGATAAACATGAAGCGCTTCGTATGTACCAACTATTAATTGTCACTGAGAAGATTATACCTTTTGCTAGTTTTAAACCATATCACATCCAAATGAAGAACTTGCTTCATAACTACGAAAACAACGATAAAAGGAATTAATGCTAAAAAATTTACCTCCCAACGAACAAGAGCAGTGTTTGCACCGATAACTTTCAAAATCTGACCATAGGTCCCTTTAGGGATAACAAGACCTTCAATTGAAGGAATATCTAACTGATTTGGAGCTAAAATGATATTGCAGGAGTCAACAACTTGGGACCCATCAGTTATCTCAGACAGTAATGTTATACCACTCATTTTCTCTAAGAAGTTGTATCTGTTTGAAGAAAAAAAATATTAAAAAAAGCTAAAATTAAAAAATAGATTTACAGTTCTATGCAACTTATACAACAAATTTGATTTAATGAACCATAAAATTTTATCATCAATATACAAACCTTTGCAAATGAAAAAAGTCTTTTTTTTTTCAAAAACAACATTTGTATCGTACAAGTTATTCAAATTTTATACAAACTACTGAAGAAGGTCAAGAAATGAAACATTAAAAGGATTATGTTTAAACCTGACAAGTGCCAATACAACAACAACAACAAAGCCATTATCCCAATTTTTGACACCTAATGTCAATAAAAAGGCAAAAAATTATGATAGATACAGGACTTAGGACTTGCTTCAAAGATCCTGTAATCTGAAGTAGAACAAAGGAAAGCACACATGACATGACCACTACCTTCATTGAACTAGATAAAGCGTGGGCAGAAACATGAGGAGCAATTGATATCTAAAGAATGGAAATAAAAAGGCACAGGATGAAGTTTCTACTAATTTATGACTGCAAATATTCATGATATAATTTCGATATTATAAAGCATGTTTGTGATTGTGACATGTTAGACTTATATTCATAAAAACAGAAAATCTGGATCAAATTTGTAACTGTTGGTTTTAATTTCTTATTATTTTCCTACAAACTGTCAGATGAAGATCATAAATTTCTTAGCTTCACATTCCCAATAAATCCTATGACAGATATTAATACACAATCTTTCTAAGTTCATTACTCATGAGATATTTAACCTTCAAACGTAGAACAATAATGACCCATCAAAAGGTGATTCCCAGATTAATAGGCTTAGATCCAATAGTGACGAAAACTGAAAAACTGTAGAGGAGCAATGTGCTTAAGCAGTCGACTATCTTTTTGACAACGCAACATGAAACTAAATACATCTATTGATACCCAATTAAATTCCATAAAGTTAACAAAATTAAACTAGCGAGATCATTTTTTTAATCAAATGCAATATGGATGCATGCTCAGCTACAACATGGTTGCAATACCTCAACTTTTTTGCAGACCCCCTACCAATCTTTATATTCAAATACTTGATTTAAATCCTCTTCTTGTAATAATTTGGCTCCAATAGTGGCTGGCTATAAGAACACCACAACACCACAGGATCTAAAAGTATTTCCAAACAATTAAACAAAGTCAAATAGTCCAAGATTATTTGGAAACATAAGTTGTGTAGATCTTGTATTAAAGGTGTGCTAATATTATCACCATTAAAGGTGTGCTAATATTGTCACGTCCTGAGCCCGTAAGCTCGTTGGTGTAGTGTAACCCCCGGAACTCACTAAGTACAACACGTTGTTTGGCTCAAACCAGTGAACCACAGTCGAAAAGGACTAGCTATTGTTACAACTTGTCTCCTTAGACTAACCATTTAAACCCACCCACTCTTTGCTAAGTGAGTGATGTGGGACTAGATACTACGGTATCACAATCACCCACCTTAAATGTGTAACGTCCTCATCACAACATGAATTGGTTCGTCACAGTAGCACCACCGAGTGATGTGGATTCTAGAAGTGGCTCCCCAGCGATCACACAATGTAGCACTTAGTTCCGCACAGCACTTAGTTCCACACTTCTTATTGGCCAACTGCTCTGATTCTAAGATCCACACGCCCCTGGCCCACGATCTCGTTGGCGTTCTGTAAGCCTTGGGATCTACTAAGTGTAACAATTTGTTTAGCTCACGCCACTATCACAAATAACTAGTCAATACTTGCAACTTGACTAACGTTGTAAAACCACCCACCCTTTGCTAAGTCAGCGATGTGTGACTAAATATTTGGGCATCACAACTATGAACTATCATCATAAAGTTAGCGTTAAACTAGGTGCCAGCACTATCAAAATTTTTCCATAAAGAGTTGAGATGATGAGCAAGAGTTTCGTTTGTGTTGTGGTGTGTGCGCAAGCAAGATAAGTAACAACTTAGTTAGTCCACCAAAGCCCCTTCTCTCCATTGTCTGTACCTTGTGGGTTACCTGTCAACATATCCTGATGAGCTTGAAGTGCCCCTATCAACAGAAGAGCATAAGGTCGAAAATTTTATGATTGAATTCCTTGTTTTAAGAATGGGTTCGATCGCTTAGTACGCCTCCCTTACAATCACTCACTCTCGATTACAAAGAAAGAGAAGATTAATTTGACTTCTCTTTTGTTTAAAAGTGGGTTCTTGGTGGCGAAAGGATGCTTCTTTCGATGATCAAACCGAGATTGCTTCCCGTTGACGATCAGATCAAGATCACAAAAAGCTTCTGATAGTGGCTTAGATCACGAGAATGCAGACATTGATCTCTCTTCACGCGATCGCCAAAAATCTTCCAAAAAGTCCCATCTTCATAGCCGCTCATGGCTATTTATAGTGTAGCACGTAACCGACGTGCTAAAATTATGGGTAGAGGGCATAACCGTCTCCTCCAATTCAGTCCACATTGGTTAAAGAGGCGTAACATGCTCCTGAATCTTAGCCTATGTGGCTGACTAAACCTTCAAATCCGTTAGGGCTAGATCTTCTACGGACGACGAGCCTCGCTGCATGGCGAAGTTCGTCAGATTGGACGAGCCTCAATATGCAGCGAGGTTCGTCTTATAATGCATGGCGAAGTTCGTCAGATTGGACGAGCCTCAATATGCAGCGAGGTTCGTCTTATAATGCCAGTTTTGCAGTGTAGTGAGCTTCTTTTGGCGAACTTTGTCGTCACTGACTTCGTCTGACGAGCTTCATCTTCACTAACGAACTTCGTCTTTGATAGGTGAGTCTAACTGCGTAGCAAGTCTTGTGAATTTCCTTTTACGAGCCTCGTCTTCACTGACGAGCTTTAAGTCTGATGATGAGCTTTGTCTTCACTGACGAGCTTCACTCCAATGATGAACTTCGAACCTCGTATCCAATGACGAGCTTCGTCTTTTGATGTCAAGTCTCATTGCGTGGCGGGCCTCGTATTTGATTGAGACGAGGTCCGTCTCTATGACGACGTTCATCATATTTCGAACTTCGGCATTTTTTTTAATGTCTGCAAAATCCCCTTCAAAGTTTTCAGACTTGAATTGGGTTGTATGGAGTCTGAAACACTTTGAATCCTCTTATGTTGAATTTGTCTGGTTCATCTAGATGAAGTTAGCTTCGCAATTCAATGCTTTTGTGAGGTCCACCATAAAGTTCAGCAATTAGCTGACCCTCGTCTTTCTATATGAATATTGTCAGACTCACACATATATGACACCTTACAATCTTATCAACAATAATTGCTACCCACCTTTTTCCAGACCCGATAGGTGGCTGCTAGCTGGTGCCTCGAGATCTTATATCGTCATCATACGAAGAGTCCTTCTGATCACTTGAGTTGTCAAAACCCTTCACCTCCCAAAATTCAAACTTTTCTTCTTGATAGCTTCCAATCCCAGATCAATGGCTCCTAAAATCGCTGTAAGCAAAGGCAAGGGCAAGAAGGTCGATGGTTCTTCAGATGATCCTGCGGCTTTGCCCGCTTTCTTAGGTAATAGATCTGAACGCAAGATCTGTGTTTCAACACAAATGAACCCTGTCTCTTTTAGAATTGGGTTTCTTGACAGAGATGAACAATTTCTCACTTTCTGAGACAATTTTTCTGAAAGATGACGTGTTTTGATTTGATGAAGTTCGCCATCTTGACATATTTTGTCTTTTTCTGACGAACCTCGTCTGATTGAATTTCATATTTATATGTCCAACTGTGTTGCCTATTCTGACGAGGTTCATCCTCAAGGTCTGTCAAATGAGCTTTCGTTTGACTGACGAACTTCGTCTTCACCGACGATGTTCATTGAATCGACGAAATTTGTTTGCACTGACAAGGTTCGTCCAACTGACGAAGTTAGTTTAACTAACAAGGCTCGAAGTTCGTTGTTGGACGAGGTTCGTATATTTAACGAAGTTCTTTGTTGGAGTGACCCTTGTATCATTGGGCAGTGACTCATTCTATGGACTAACTTTGTTTGTCCTTTGTGCAGTTGTGCATCATTTTGTTCCAATTCCTCAACATAGTGATTTCGAATCAGATGGTATTCAAGCGACGGAATATGATTCACATTATTCCTCCCTTGAAAATATTTTTATGTTTGGAGATCGAGAACAAGAAGAACTTTAACTTCTTTTTGAGCATTCGATTTCCACTTTTAAACGTTTGATCACGGACGCTCCCTTAGAATCACTTGATCGTGATCATATCGTGAAGCATGTTTTCCTGTTTGGAGACTCTTCAGAGGATCCATACTTATTGGAAGTTGGAACCTACCGATGGCTTAGGACTGTGAACGGACGACGTATGTTCTTGCCCCGATGGAACGTGACTGTTCTCTCACTGCCTTGAAAATTGTTTCCGCTCCAAGGAAGATGGATTGGGACTTAACCCAGACACAAGATGGGGTGATATATGGCTATTTCTCCAACGCCAAGATAGATAGTAGTAGTTGCTACGTAACCGGATTGCACCTGGGACTATTTCAGAAAGAATTACCCGTCGGTGAAACAGCCAAGGAGGCTAACACTTTTGGTTATGCTTTCTTTAAGTTAAAGGAGAAAATTCCCGTTAAGGACTTTAAGACTCCTGGTTGGTCTCGTTAGAGTTCTACCCAGTGATGGCCTCGTATCACTGAATACATCTTGCAGGAGAATCAAGAAGACCTGCAGAGATTTGGACTTTATGCGCCCATTAGGGCGACACAACTCGAGTTAAAGAATAACTATCACCAATTCTTTGGTGTGTTGGAGCTATATAATCCAGACACCCGTACCTTCTTCACTCCAAACGGTGAATTGGGAATTCCTCTTCATGAAATGGCTTAAGTCTCAGGGTTGTCATACGAAAGACTCATAAGAATATGTCCCGGGATTCAAGGAGTTAACTGGTTTGGAGAAGGAACACTCTCAAGTGGTTGAAACCTTTTGGGAGGTAATGTGTCACTACTATATTTGTATGAAC